TTCTCAAAGTCAGTGTCCTTGTTTCTGGAGAAGTTAATAGTTTTCCTTTTTTATTATGATCGAATCTTAATTAATTATTTAAGTAAAACCCTCTAAAGCTGATTTGTTAAATGAATTCGGAATCTGCGAAGCACTAGCATCTACTGGACTTCTGGCATCTACTGGCTTCTTCCGAACATAGACTAAATGAACATGTGAATAAAAATATAAACCCAGTTTCAAATTCAAATTTCAAAATTTCAGCTCTTAATTGTTTTGACTGAGTTACAGAGATTATTGCTACTGCACACGGTGTTCCTTTAGAACAAAAACATTCATAACTTTTGAACGAAGTAATATGCTAAATTTCTTTAGGGTTTTTATCAGCTCACTTCTCTCTATTAACTGGTAGTTCGTAGAGAATTTCAGGGGCTATTCAACACTATATTTACTTTGCTGTACATGTAGGAAATTTGAGGAAAACAGCTTTTACTTATGATCTTTGTATTGTTTTAATGGTGAAGATCGGGATGATATTGTCGAGGAATTAACAAGATTTTCGAAGACAAAAGTATTCGATTTTACCTAGAATCGAACAGGAAGACTTTTTACTACAGACGAGACCATTTTTCCTCAAAAAAGAGAGTAGGTCGATTCAACGTAACCAGGATTTTTAGACTGCTGGGCCGTGTTCCGTAGAGTCAAAAAAGACTCGTGGGCCGAACGTTGCCTGCTTGGGCAGGATATCTTTTCGACAGCTGCCGATTCTAATACCGTCATTTTCGGTGTTACTCGTTATCGTGGCAATTTAAGATTTTTCAACGTCATTTTTGGATGAAAAAATTGAAAAATACTGATCTTTTGAACTGCGCGAGAAAAAAGTGAAATTTTCATGTTTGGTCGCCTTTCGAAATTTCCAAACCATCTTTTCTTATTTTCTGTTGAAAACTGAGCCTCGAAAGCTCGAAAATTGGTTTTCTCGGCAAGAAAGCAAAACTTTCCAAAAAGGATACTCAATCTTTTCCCATGAGTATCGCGATCAGAATGAAATAAAAGAAAGAACGTTATCTCCAAAATTGCAGGACTAGATAGGTTCGTAAAATTGAATGGCATCTCCTTTACCTTCCTGCTAGTGCTTCGCAGATTCCGAATTCATTTTAGCTTCTAAAATTTCCAAGATTAGCTTTCCAGACTCAATATCAATATCCTTACTACTTTCAGATGAAAATTATATTCAAACAGTCCAATTTCATCTAAAGTATTCATGCCCCACTAAATACTCCACCAGCCATTGTTTCTTCGCTCAGCACGTTCAGACTGTCGCGACCAGTATTTAGTTTCAAAACATTGAGTTCAGTAAAGTGTTAAGCGTATGTCAATTAATAGTTAGGAAACGCGTATGGGTTTATCTACTAGGATGGCAGAGAGAAACTGTTGCACATCTTTTACTGGCATACCCTTCACTTAACACGCATGGTGCAAAGATCGTTAGAAAAATATACCTAATGTAGTATGCTGCACCTTTTCCAAAAGACCTATAATTAGATGTTCTTATATATATGCCTATTAATATTCTGTGAAGTACATCATCTGTCCATAAAAATACGTTAACAATTTCGTTTTGTGGTACGACACCTGTGCATATGAGTTAATCTTTTGATTATAGAGAACGAATCGACAGCAGCTTCTGTAGCTCTTGACATGATTTAAATAGTTTGATCAACTGCAAATGAAAATGAAATTATGCATCTCAAGAATACGAAAGAATACACATGTGACTGAGGATTGGTATCAACTGAAGTTTGATAAATGTTTCGCTTAATTCAATCTGCAGTTTTACATGATTTCTCGAGCGCTGTTTTTTTTGTATTTTAGATAAACGAGAATGAATAGGAATAATGCAAAACAATCTATCACCCAAGACTCGAGACGGCACCCCACGCCACATTCTAGTTTCTCTCATAGGCAAAGCTCATATATCGCAATACTTCTCGAGCAAGTTACACTTTTCCAAGAATCGCTTCAAGACTAGTTTGATACGTCAGCCTATCAGGATGTACAGGTGATAACCTTGTCGTTGAGATTTCGAGTGCTTTCGTGATATTCGCTAACGCGTCTTCATAATTCCCTTGTGCACGATGTATCACGCCAATGCTATTGTACATGGTGGCTAGGGATGCAACGGTAACGGTACCGTACCTTACCGGTTATCGTTACCGGTCCAACTGGTCAGAACCGGTTGGACCGTTACCGGTTTCAACCTGCGACGATTGCAAAAGCTATTGTCAGGGTTGTACATGTGCATATTATATTTGTCCCTTCTCCTTTGATACGAAATTTTTTATTAGATGTTTTTTCGAATCACTTCTTCTTGTGCAGCACATTATTGCTTGTGTACGAAGAATTTGCTTCATAAAATAGTCAACATGTAAAACAATAAACTTGAAAAACAAAGAAATATTTGCTACACAACTCAAAACACAAAATAAATGTTTCTTTCACAGTTCTCTGTTAATCAACATAACGTTGAAGAAAAACACTTTTTAACATAGAACGATCAGTGTAACTCAAACTAACTTAAGAACTCACATCACTCACAGAACCGGTTGGACCGGTAACCGGTCAGAACTGGTTGGATCGGTAACGGTAATCGATCAGAACCGGTTGGACCTGTAACGGTAACTGTTAAACCGATTAGACCGGTTGTCAACCGTTACCGGTGCATGCCTAGTGGTGGCTAACGATGGATGGTTGGCAGGAAGAAATTCAAGGTGAATTTTCAGTGTTTACTCATAATTCCAATAAAACTTACAGGTTCAAAAACATTCCCTTACTTTTAAAGCTTTCTTGAAAACCTTTCAAAAACCAAAGTATTGACATTGTTTGACTGGATGTGGAGCATAGATGCCAGTGTATGTTGTGCACATTAAGAAACTATAGGTATCATGATAATGATATCTATAGGTAGGATAATAGTAGCGAAGTCACTGCAAAAAGAAGTAAAACGAAAAGAGTCGTTGATAAAGATGTTGCTGGTACAAAACAAAGAAAGATGTGAAATAAATATAAGTACTTACATTCGACATTTATAATAGAACTTTTTGACCGACAGTAGATAAAAAAAAGCAAATACTCCTAATCAAGAAACCAACTTCTCAAGACAGTAGAAACCAAAGAAAATCGCCTAAAGCGATCTCTGCAAGTTTCAGGTTTTCCACTGAAAAGTAAGGTGATTTTCAGGTTTTTCAAAACATTTCAGGTAATTCAGGTGAAATCTCACCCCTGCTGTATTATATACAACAGGCAAATAGTACATTTCAAAGATGTCAAATAATAATATACTTACGCTTTTCATAAGAGGTTGAGATGTTTTGCTCTCTCATCTAACGGCACACAGTGTTACTATGTACAAAAGAACTTATAGCCTAATTTACTCATGGAACTGAAAACAAATTATAACTACAAGTCAAGAATTGAGCAGGCATTTTAATTAGTTAAGTGCCGATAAAAAATTAGCTACACATATTTTTCTTCTTATCCATATCGTTGTTTAATCTTGTTAGATATAATCTAATAATAATCTAAACCATGCGTAATTTCATTTACATGAATTTACAGATTTTGTTTTCGCACGCTTGGTCAAGAGACAAAAATTTTAAAAATAACAGACTTAATGGTTGAAGTTCGTGTGGTGCTAGATTTTTTCAGCCTGAGTCAGTGATGGATCAGGTATCGTCCGGTACATGCGGCTGCACGTACCTTTTTGACGAAAACCCTGCTTTTTCCTAGCAGAACTGTGCGAGAAGCTTTATTTGTTTTTATATTTATTCTTTTCATTATTACAGAATTATTATTACTGAAAAAAGGAAAAAGTTAGTGTATAATAATCTGACAAATAAACAAACAACGATGGAAGAATCCCAGTACTGATATTTTCCACGTGCCCTGTGTCAGATGTATTTATTTACTATGTATATTTTACTGTTTCGACAAAAGTTGAAATTTTGCCATTCAAGAAAAACATTACCTATATGTTTTATCTAGCGAGTAAGAAGAAAAAGTCCAATCCTTTATTAAAAGAACCGGTATAAAATAACGCGAAAAACAAATATTTCTTTAACTATGCATATTTCTCCAATCACTTACAACGGTTGAAATAGCAAGGTTTTTGACTTTTCAGATGTATCTCAACGAGATACGATTTCTTACACAAATAGTTACTATACAAAATGGCATCAATTTTCAGGAAGAAAGTGGCCATAGCTTCTTATTGATACTTCTTATAAGTGGCAATAGCTGCTTGCTGCTAAGTCCGGAAATGGCAATAGCTTCTAGTTGGCACTTCTGTAAGCGGCAATAGCCATTCCGAAAAAATATTTCCTGAGTTTCGGCACAAAATTACAGTCCCTTTGAAAAAATAACAGATTATTTATCTTAATAACGAGAAGATGCACTCTCTTTTCAGAAAATCCTTCATAAACTCTGTATTTTCTTCTTTTTAGATATATAATAAGATAGTAACTCTATCAATTGTTTATAAAAGTAGTAGAACTATCTTTGATATACTGGGAAAGATCGGCAACACTGATATACAAATGGCAGGTCAATGGTCCATAGAGTCAAATAAAATTATATTTACAGCTAAACCACGTTCCCTGGTAAACAAAATTGCTGTTGCTACTGGCTTTGATTATCCAGACTATTGTAGTGGTCGAGAACATGATCGATTTAAAATTATTGAAATTCAGAGTGAGAATAAGAGACTATGTGAACTTCTTGAGGCTAAGTATCATCAAAGTGCGAGTATATTATAAACAGATATAATCTCATATTTAAAACATATGACAAAAAAAAAATATTCAGATCAGTATCCGGCGTCAATGGAAATAACAGAAATTGATAAACACACGAACGTATACCGTGTGCTCGATAGTGTAAGTTACACACGTTCAGTTTTAAAACTAATGTATACAATTAATGAACCAATAATTAATGAACTATTTGTTGCTGCGCCAACTTCATCATTCTGGTGTAACATCAGTTAAAAATGATTTCAGGCGAAGTTGTGCAAGTTATGATAGCACGGGCGTATGATGAAGTGGAAGCACTCGAGTCTACCGAACCCGGAACGCTCATTCGATCCGGGGTACGCTCTTTTTCTTTCTTTCTTTCTATGTTCTTCCTTGAGTGCTGTACATGTTTTTGTACAGTATAGTTTTACCTGAGAAGAGGATTTTTTATATAATTTGTGTGAAAGTTCTATCTGCATAAGGCAGATATCCACGGAAATAATTTTTATTCGTGAAAGATTTGTGAAAAAGTCTAGAAAAACATGCTAGTCGGCCAGGTAATTCCGTGGTAGGCGGTGTTAGCCGATAAAATGGTCGGCGACAGAGAGAAAAACTTCGTACATACAGTAAACCTCTATTAGTAGCACCTCTCTGTAATGCGCACCTTCTTATAGCCGACCAGGCTATGAGTCGGACGGAACCATTTATTTTCACTTGAACTAAATCTCTCTATTGTGGACACCTTCTTATTCTGGGCAGCGGGCATAATTTGCCAGTTCCTCAAGCCAAAACTATCTCTCTATAGTGGGCAAAACTTTCTTTCAGCAGCGCGCTGAAAGGAAATAAGAAGAACCATATATTTTGAAGGCAGCGAGATGTGTTGCACGTAAGGAGATCTCGGCTAGATCTTTTAATCTTAGGATTAAAAAATTCTCCGGCGGCTAACCGGGATCCCGTGAGTTATGTACTTAAGATATACGTGAAGTTGATGATTACTTTTCTGCTTTTTTTTCTGTCAGATAACAATACATCGCACATTTGCGGATCTGCAAAAAACGACTTTCACATTCGCAACGTGTCTCCCTCCCCTTCCCCTATGATGCAGTTCCACCTGGTCTCAAGTCACCTGCCCATAATGCAGAGGTTTTACTTTTTTTGCTTGTTGCCGGACGTGGCAGCAAGCCGCTATTGCCACTTTCAAGAGAAAGTGCTAGAATTGTTATTTGTACATCTACCAATCATTAAATGTAAGATTTTTCAACATTCTTTTGGATATAAATCTATACCAAGTACAAAGAAATAATAATTGCCCGCATAACTAATAACTGGTCGGTCCTAAAGAATGGATCAGAATCATTCCTTTTTTTGGACAGTTCCCTATAATTTAAAGACTCCATTCTAAGCTCGTTTTTGCGCTCTACAAGACTGCCAAATTGGATTGTCGAACAAGAAATATCCCTCGGAGTAAGATTAACCCGGAAAATTTTAGTGGAAAAATACAGAAGTTTAGCTAAAATACATGAAGGTTTAAAAAAGAATTACTTGCGAACGTAATGATAATTTGACATCTTCATCCGAAAAATAAAGGTTTTTAGCTGAAAAACAAAAAGGAGAACATTTTTAGACATAAGTCGGGTACAGGTACGAAAATGGTACCTGTGCACATCTCTACTGAGAATAACCATACTTAGTTTATGTGGCTATGAGAAATTTGAAACTTAATGTCAATTTTTATTTTAAAATGAATAAAGCGTGTGAACGTATGTTTTGACTCAAGTTAGGTTCAGAAAAGCATACTCTGTTTTTCTCCTGTTTGTTGGCTTCTGTGAATACTCAGAGCTAATTTGTTTTTGAAAAGAGTATGATTCCAAATGCCTGAATTATTCATAAATACAACATTACATTCTCTAAGTAAAGTAAAAGTGAACAAATCAGCTTTAGAGGGTTTTACTTAAATAATTAATTAAGATTCGACCATAATAAAAAAGGAAAACTATTAACTTCTCCAGAAACAAGGACACTGACTTTGAGAAAATGCCTGATATTATCAGGCATTTTCTCAAAGTACCAATAAACTACCAATAAAATACCAATAAAGGCATAATGCCTTTATTGGTATTGGAAGTATTCTTACTTTGAACTCTAATAAGAAATATATCGGTTTTTTTTCGCATTTTTCAAAAATTCATAATAAATGGTTTGTACTTTCGTAAAAACGCGTTGCAACATCTTTTTAAAATGGCAATTTTGTAGAGAAAACAGTTCTAAAACGGACAAGAATTTAAAAGAGAACGCAATTAGATTGAAAAGAGAACGTTTTGAATTTTTCGGAGAACGCAAATTAATTAAGATAGAAAAGAGAACGCACGAAAGAATGGAGAACGCAAATAAATAGGGATAGAAAAGAGAACGTATTTTGAATTAAAAATATTTAACTTTTACTATTTTCTCAATCACTAAACACATCACTGTACGGTTTCCGCGGTGTAGTGGTACACTGTGTGTCATGATATGCATATAGTGCTGGTTCGATTCTGGTTAGAGGCCACGTAATTGTTTTCTTTTTTATGCACTCATTACTTTTCTTTTTTGGAATGAAACTTTGGAAAAATTGATGTATTGTACTTACGGCCGAATCGTATGTATGTAAACATGCTCTTGGCATGATGATTCATTCAGGCTATTATTTTGTTCAAGACCCATCAAAATTAGAAAATTTCAGCAAAAAACGTGGTAGACCTAAAAAGGCACGTTTAGCATTAATGAAATAAACATTTTTGTAGTATCGTTACATATTTACTAATTGAGAAAATAGTAAAAATTAAATATTTTTAATTCAAAATACGTTCTCTTTTCTATCCCTATTTATTTGCGTTCTCCGAAAAATTCAAAACGTTCTCTTTTCAATCTAATTGCGTTCTCTTTTAAATATTTTCCCTAATTAAACAGTTCAATTTAAGATCTTTTCATTCGAGAATTTCTGCTCAAGAACTTTTATATAATTAACCGATTTGGGGGTGATAAACGTGTTCGTTGATCACTTGTAATGAAATCGCTCAACGAAAAAATTCTTTCTGATAATGTAGTCGTCGCAAGTATATACCAATATTTTCGAGCAATTTGACAAATTTGAAGCAGGAAGAGTTATCTAAAATTCTCACAGATCTAATACATCTTTGAAAGACTACCTTTTCAAAGCAAAGTAAAAGTGCTACATGCAGTTTATGTATTCTCTTACGAGAACTTATTTCATTGGAGCCCTAGCGTATAGCACATTATCTTCTTCTCTTTAATGTCGCATACAGAAATCTGAATGTGAACATAGTGAGCATCTTGTCGTATGTGAGATAGGAAGATACGTTGTACGCTAGGGCTCTACTTTCTTCTTACTTTCGTCCAGTTTGAATATAGTCACATCACAATTTAAGCATCTGCTACGAAAAATACGTAACTTCCGCGAAAGTCGTTTCGTTAATCCATTTTTCTTACGGTTTATCAGTGATAGAAAGAAAAGGCACTATTGTATATCTATCTTTTGTGCTATGACACAAAGCGTGCGCAGTACACAACGAAAAAATGCATATCATTATCGCATATAGCAAATGATATGCGGTACTTTCGATAATCATCTCATCTCTAATCATGTGTGAAGATAAACTGATTTACTCTACGTACGTTATTTTGAAAGAAAAGAAATGTACGAATCTTTCTTACATGCACACTACTTACTCGTTCTTTTCCTCTTTTCTCTGTAGACATACATACATCGAAAATAAATTAACAGATTTTCAAACTGTGATTTTTTGTGCTGATAAATTATGTCACAATTATCATATGCTAGTATTTTAGTTCTTCTAGTTATTATTATCTGTCTTGTATGTAGTCTACAATTACTTTGCGGTATATCAGTTACAAATGTTCTTACTAAAGCATCATTCAATATTGTTCGTTCATTCAGCCATCTTGATTGTCAACTATCATTGTCTGAAAGTGATAACTATTTTTGTGAAACTAATACAGATTGGAATGAACGAAAAAGAGTTTATAATATGCAAAATAAACGTAATTTACTAAAAATAAAACATTCGATATTTTTTCTAACAAATTGGGAGCCAAATTTTCAGTGTACATTTGAACGTCGAATAGGAAAAATTGGAGATGGTGGCAAATGGGTATGATTTTAAAAAATGAAAAATGAGGATAAGTTTTACTTATTTTTTATTTTTTGCCGTTTAGGTCTGTGATCCCAATCGTTTAGAGAATAAGAAATCATGTTTAGTTTATAGTGCAGGTAGTAACGGTGACTTTTCGTTTGAAAAAGATTTGAAATCACTACTACCTCATTGTGAAATTCATACGTTTGATCGTGGTATATTTAAATGTCCAAAGCATGTGTGTAATTATCATCAAGCTCTAATTGGAAACGGAATTAATGGAACAGAAACGATTGAGATGTTAATGGAAAAGTTAAATCATCAAGAACGTGAATTAGACATTTTAAAAATCGATATTGAAGGAAGTGAATATCCTCTTTTTACGCAAATGTTTAATCCAAATAGTACAAATAAAGTCTATCCTCGTCAAATATTATTTGAAATTCATATTGGTCGCAAACAGAGTTATGTTACTCATCGATTATTTGATTATTTAAGACAGCGTGGCTATGCAATATTTCATAAAGAACCGAATTTGATAGGAGGACCAATATATTTTGAATATGCAATGCTAAGATTAACTAATATTTTTACAAACTAGAAAATTAAGATCGTATAATATTTTTTGCTATTTTGTTCAGCGGCGTATGCAGAAAGCCACACCAATTTGACGCGAAAACATTTTATTTATCCAGTAGTCAGTTTCAATAAAACTTCTGTTCAATAATTTTTGATGAACTTACAAATGACCCATTGATCATATCATTTTTTGATCAATAAAAAATTTAGAACTTCGTGGCCGGACATTATTTTTTCACTCACCAAACCTCATTTTACTTCGAAATGTTTGCTCTTTTAGATGTGATATGAAAAGTTTTTATCAAACTTGCTCCTGGATAAATAAAATGTTTGTATTTAGAATGAAAGATTGCGAAAAATGCTCCTCGACTGGGACTTGGAGTCAGGACCCTCTGATTATAGGGCAGACGTAAGGAGTGACTTGAAACACTGCTTAGTGAGCATTCCAGTCGAACTTAAGACCGTTACCGTTCTTCTCTACTGTTCAGTCAAGCTTACAGGCGTGGGTGAAGAATTAAAAATGACAATATATTGTCATTTTTAATTCTTATCGCATTTTATCCACTACTTCTTAACAAATGACAGAATACTTTGAGCTTCTCGAACAGTTTATTCCTGAGAGTGTAAAATCTGATGAATATGTACTAGTCTTAGGGAATCTCAGCCCTAAGTTTAACTCCAAAAAGTTAAAGATCTGTGTAGTATCCAATCTATTCGTCAGGCCTTTTCTTCTAACATCACCATAAGAAACTGCTTTGGAATAATATGTATTATCCAGAAACCTGACTAAAATCATTCGTTCGATATACTAGCTTCTTATGGCATTCTATTCATCATATACTCTTAGCGAGCTTTCTGTTTCTCATTCTCACAAAGATTAAGAAATAAGGTCATCAGAGAAGTTAAGGCAGAGGAGATCCTGGTCATCGGTTATGTCGCAACTTAAAGTTCATAGGAAGTTTTCGTCGTTAGTTAATAAATTTCATAAAAATCATTCAGATATTCAAGCAACAGTAACCCTTATAACGAAAAATAAGCAACTGGAACCTGTAAACAATGACTTCGCCAGTGTTGGAGGCTGTCTGTATTTAGGAGCCAGCATGGAAATAAGTAACTGATAAACTTTTAGGATGCAGATATGACAATTTCATGGAGCGGACATCGGTATCCGACAAAGCTGTTACAAGCATCCTTGCCTGAAAGTCGCAAATATGTATTCTGAATGTTGACCATGGGACAATTTTACTCTAGAAAAGAAGTAAACAAGGTGCAGTTTTATCCAGTATCGAATTATAATAAGCTGTTTTACGATACGACGATTGTAGGAGCTGCGCCAGCTCATAAATTTAGATACTGATATTGTTGTTTTTTTATGCGTATTCTTCAGGCAATTGCTGATTTTAGTATAGTATTGCATTATCCATACACATCAGTAATACGTCGAGATGAGCTCAAAAAAGAGCGTTTAGATATACCGGCAATGATAATTAATTATTAACATTTTACAGTTAGCGCTCAATGATTTCGTTCTAATCATATTTATTATTAAAATGAAAGAAGTAGCCAGGTAACACTAGAGTCACAAAATCAGATGAAAAAAAGTCCATCAGTCTCTTTGTATTTTATTATCTAATTATCAGATTCCGTTTCGTAAAGATATGAACAGGTATGGGATTGGTTCTATTCTGTATGCAACAGCGATGTGAATATATAGCGTCTCGAAAATCTTGAAAACGGCAATTTTAAGTGTTCTCTACTCTCACTGTCCTATCTCAACAAAAGCTTCTTTGAATACTTGCTTATGTCCAGATTATTGCATACTGACGATTTTTTAGAGTTTATCAGCAAAACTCTATAATATTTATATTCTCAAGAACAATATTTGAATGTAATTATTGTTACCGGTGGTTTGAATGGTCACCGCGCCGAATGGCGAAGCGCATCCACAAAGCTCTAAAAAGTCAGAGGTGGAGCTTATTTGATAGGCTTTGTGAGTAATATGGTCTAAGTGTATAAGCCCACTCGTCTCATCTGAAACACATTACTTGATTCTCTAACGCATATGAGTCATGTTGAAGTGATTTAAAATATAACATCTAATTGTGATCGTTGTCGTTTTGTTGACTAATTCGATCAAAAAAAAAAAGTCTACCAGACTAATTTATAACTATAACAAAGCTAATTGGGATGTGTTTTGAAATAATTGAATTTAGTGCCGTGGTAAACACTATTAAAAAGCATGAATAATATCAATGAGAAGGTTGCGTGCTTAACACATGTAGTTCTCGATCTCGTCAAAACATATATATTAAAACAAAACTGTCAAAGTCTCGCGTAGTTATAAGATCTGTAAATTTCGAAAAGTTTACACGAGGAGAAATAATTTGTTCAGAAAATGACAAAATTGTGACAAGAAGAAGGCACTACACCCTCAGGCAGAGTTCGAAAAGACATACGTCGAAGTTAAAACAAAACTTTTATACAAAAATATCGTCAAAAATATTTTCTTATACAAAAGGCTTGGGGGACACTAGGCAATGAAGCTCTATTGCAAGGCATCGATCAGTATCCCCAGGGGAGTAGATACAGAAGGTGGCATAGAGAAGACGAGTCTGTTTAACAAATATTTGGCTGCTATGTGTGATCTCAGTCTCTTTTAAAACGACAGCAAGTACATAGGACTAAATAAAGCAGTCGGAGAAGGTTTAACGAGCAGAATCTTCGTAAAAAAATAATGGAGTGAGTAGTAGTATTGTCCAAAACCGTTAACAGTGAAATATCCCAATCAGTCCGTGGCCCGTTGTCATTGCCATAATAATAAAATATATTTGTAGTTTAGTGATAAGGCTAAATAAGGGGAGATATATCGCCAGTGTTGGAACCTGTCTCTATTTAGCGGCACATTCTTTGCCACATTATCTGTCAACTCATTCCCTATTCATCCTTGATGTCCCGATATCGGATTAGTTTTAAATTGAGAATTTTGACGGTTTAAATTCACCTATGACGGTGAATGGGCAGATGACAAGAGGCCCGATCCAGGAATCTGCATTTATGTGAATGCGGAGACTTACAACGGCGAGTATAGAGATGGCAAGATGCACGGTAGAGGAGTTACCAGATATGCGAATCAGGACACGTACGACGGCGAGTTGGAAGATGGCAAGAGGCACGACCGAGAATTTTTCACATTGATGAATAGGGACACCTACGACGGTGCATGGACAGATGATAGGAGGCGCCGTCGACGAATCTGCACTTATGCAAACGGCGACCGCTACGATGTCGAGTTTGAAGATGGCAAGAGGCACGATCGGGAAATTTTCACATTGATGAATGGGGACAGCTATGATGGTGAATGCGCAGATGATAGGAGGCGGGGTCGAGGAATCTGCAAGAATGCAAATGGGGACTGTCATGATGGCGAGTTCAAAGACGACAAGAAGGATGGTCGAGAAAATTCCACATTGATGAATCAAAGACAGACAAAACAAAGTACAACAAAAAAGAGAAGTTAGCATGCCACAAAAAGCAAGTAAGAATAATAACCGTACATGGTTGGCTAGAAAAGCGTCTAAGTACAGCAGTAGATGATTGAAAAATGGACACAAATAGCCGATCATCCGTTGTATCAATACCTCCAGCTAAATAAACAAATGAATAATAGAGCCGTATCGAATAAGGAATATCTCTGTCTTTTCACATCTTGACAAATGTTAGCAAATGTCTATATGTTAGGAAATGTCTGTATAGACATGTGCTAACATTTGCCAAGATGCGAAAAGACAGAGATATTCCTTATTTGATACGGCTCTAATCATGTGTAAAGATTTTGATGGAAAATATCTTTTTCATCTCTTACGAGAACAAGCCACAATCATCTATCACAATCATTTAATAAGTATAATAATACTGTAAAGCACTATTCATATCAGAAACAAAATAAATATCAGCGAATCAATCCTGATTATATCAGGTGATAACTGAATAGTATGTCGCATGATGAAGTAATCGCGGAAGAATTTGTTTCACTTCCATAGTTATGATTAATCAATATGATAGTCACTCACAATTTCAATATAAGAGAGCGGGAAAGAGCTCCGCGATGATAAGAGGCGGGGTCAAGCAATCTGCACGTATGCAAATTTTGACCGGTATGATGCCGAGCCGGAAGATGCCAAGAGGCACGATCGAGGAATTTTCACATTGATGAATCGGGACAGCTATGATGGTGAATGGGCAGATGATAAGAGACACGGTCGATGAATCTGCAAAAATGCAAATGGGGACTAGTATGATGGCGAGTTCAAAGGTGACAAGAAGGATGGTCGACAAATTTTCACATTGATGAATCGGGACAGTTATGATGGTGAATGTGGAGATGATACAAGGCCGGGTCGAGCAATCTACAAAAACCTACGAAAAAGCACTCATGTTGAGTGCTTTCTCGTTCGCAGAAAACATCAAAGTCGATCAACATAAAATTGCTCAAGTTCTGTGAAAATTTCTCTACGATACTTCTTGTCGTCTATGAGCTTTTTTCTCCTATGTATCGTTATGTTTCTATGATGGACAGAGCTGGATAAGTTAGAGGTTTTGCAAGTCAAATCAAATCACTAGAAAACCTTTTCAAGCCAAGTCAAGTCATTACTTGAGATTTTTCACAGTTTTTATAGTTTTAAATAACCAGGCTATAAGTATTTTCGAAAGAATTTTAATCAAACTTGGTTTATTCAACGACATTCTTCTGTTATCTCGCAGTTGGCATGAAAGAACTGCGTTTATCTTTCTCCTAGTGGAACTGGGTAAGATTTTTCATTGAAAGGCCACAGAAAAGAGCCACTTTTAGGTAAAAAAAGATAATGAATATCTTATACTTACAAGTTTTTTTCTTTTGTCAAAAAATGAAAATTTTTCTTTCTGTTTATAAAAGTATGTTGGGTCTATTTAAAAAGTGTTCACAAAAGGTAGCGAACATGTATGCAGCCAGTGACAGTGCGACAACAAAGATAAAATCCTTCCAGTTTCGAATTAAGGTCAAATTTTATCCTTTTTATAGTGTGCTGGCAAAGTTGAAAAAATATTCTAGTTTATTTACGAACTAATTTCTCTCGATGTGAAGAATATTATCATTCTACGTATTGTCCTCTCATCGTTTTCTCTTTCTTCTCTTCTTAACATAAGAAACGGTTGAAGGTTCATTATTTGTGATGCTTTCAATAGGGTCTCTTTAAGCAGTGTCTTTATATCAAATATATCGTTCTGCAAGAAGTAAGAATGCTACTTGTGATATGAATTGGACTAGCTTGAGAAGAGTTAGATAATAACAAATCATTTGATTGATATAAGCGTTGGATTGAGATGACAAATACCGTCTCACTTCCTTTGTCGATTGGCCAGACTGGTATAAACTGTTATCACTGCTACTTTCATTCTCTCCCGGATCATCATCATCTTCCCTATCGTACAACCAGATTCTCCCTGATAATGGATCCATTCGGCCAAAGACAGTATCTCTTGCCGTTATGTATGGTCGCCACCTGCCTTGTTTCGGACCTATATGATCGGAGTTGTTATAACAACCGTCATGATAGAAGCACATACCCCAGTTTGACACGGCAAATAGTTCTGGGCCAAATTCACTGATTGTTCGATAGTGGGTGCCATTTGGAAAGCCGTCGCCAGCACGATTATATAAAACTTTCAGTTCTTCCCAAGACGTTTCGACCCCTATGGTTGTACCTGTTTGATGGTCCCGATCACGTCGATATGTGAATGAGCAAATTTCGAAGTCAAAACGATGCTCTTCCCGTTCCATGTTTAAAAACTAAACAAAATAGCAATAAATCGAACATATTGACCGATGTTGGAAAAAAAACGTTTTTGTTCTTTTGATACGAGAAAAAAGAACGCCAATGTTTCTTCTCCTCCTCTCCATAATTGCGCATTGAAATATGCATCAACAGAAGAAAGAACGCAAGGGCGTATGACGTTCTCCGAAAAGCAGCGATTTCTACATATTACGATGTTGGCCATTTTTCTTCCTTTTCTTTCTTATCAACACGCTGTAAGAAGTACACCTACAACTAGGTTACAAGTACAAATAGGTTACTACAATCGTTATTAACCGTTAACCGTAACCGGTCATAACAGAGTGGGGCCAGTACAAGTATACTCGAGTACAAAATTCCTAGTACCCGTACTTGGAACTTTTTTTAACGAGTATTTCAAAAAATACTCGAGTACTTCCTAAAAAACTTGTGACCTTTCTTTTACTATTTATATATTTCGGTATAAAAAAATCGATTTATTCAGAAATTTTTTCGGATTTACCGGCTTCTTCAGGAAAACAAAATACTCGGGTACTACTCGAGTACTTTTCAGAAAATACTTGTACTCAGAAATCCGCGTACTCGCCAATCTCTGAATCATAACCGTAACCGTAAATAACCGGTGGAACGGTTAACTTTTGTGCAACGTAGTGTAGACTGTCACTATAGCAGATGCACTATAACGTCAGGACAAAGATCATCCTTGTCTGCTTCTAATGTAAGCCGATATCAAAGAACTAAAAACCAAACATACACTAACGAGAGAAGGTCCCTAACTGATAAATCACTTTTGAGTCGAAAGCTAGTGGATTATAGGTTATCGACCATGCTGATTCCCAATATGACCACGGGGATTGGTTCCCTATAGCCCTTCGAAGATCCAGTTTTCTGGGAAATCAGTTTTTCAGAAACTTTAAAACATAACTAAAACCTTTCATAGTGAGGTATAATTGTAGCCCGCAAATTTTTGATTAAAATGAGACAACTTATAAAAAGTGAACGGCAAAGATAGTAATGTATACGCTCTCGGTACAGCTGTATACACTTGCAGAGTAGATATTTGACTTTTCGCCTTTCCCTCATTTCCATATAGACACACACACTGTGAGAGAAAACCAAGAATTTTCACACGTACAGTGAAGACAGGACGAAGAAAGAGAACTATGGTCATGTGGAAAATTCTGGTTACATGTTAAATTTTATATTTTACTTTCCCAATGAAGACTACTTGACCTTGAAGTCTAATTCTAACCGCGTCTAGTGATGTGTGATTTCAATATCAAGAAAGTCCAACAAATATTGCTGACATAAATTATATGAATATTAAGATCTGGAAAATAGAGATATAAGAAAGATAATACATCCCCACCAGTGATGAATTAGTGCTTTGATGTTTGATCAAACAGTGAACGAACACTTTTGGTGCCAAAAATGTTTATATGCTTTTGCTCTCGATAGGCAAAGATTTACTAAAAGCGTTTTCGTAACTACAGATATATTTATTTTTCAAATAAAACTGTATCGATTGGAATTAGATACACTATCTAATTCCAATGTCGGTACAATTTTTGTCTCTATTTCCAACGGAGTCATTAATTTACAATAGAAAACGAAAGGTCTTCAGAGATTCGAACAGTGTCTTCCTTGCCAGCACGTTGAAGACACGCGCGTACTCGGTTGTACAATTCGTGAAAGTCTGTAATGCTCTCATCCTCTTTAGCCATATGAAGGCCGCAGAGGAGGAGCCCGATGATGATGAAGTCTGCATTCATACTGTATTTGCTCTTTTGGTATGAATAATTTGTTGTCTCAGCTTTTTCTCGCGAAAGTTTGTTGTTCTTCCCTGTGCGGGCTTCATAAGGCTAGAGGTTGAGAGCACTGAAGACTTTCACGAACGGTGCAACCGAGCGCACGCGTATCGTCAGCATGCTGACAAGGAAGACACTGCTCGATTCGAACGGTGTATATTTGAAAGTAATATTTCCATGTTCCATCGCTGAAAACTTTAGCTTTTCAGGACTTTGAGTGGAGTTTATAAGCTTAAAACTGATGCCTTAAGATGCAAAATGTTTTCAACTTTTTTTTTTCAAAATGTAGCTGGATAGATGCCTTTTATAGTACAGTTACAGCCTCATGTTCAGTTCATACGAAGCTCTGTTAGACAGTATACTACATGACGTGCGCTGTACAGCACACAACATTACTCTACCTAGGTAGAGTAAGAGAAGTGAAACTGACAATACTTAAAGCGGGGAATTTCTCCGCCCTAAGGAGCACGACAACGGCGCTCATTGCTACGACCTGAAGAGAAACCTTGTTTTCCCATTCACTCTCACAACCCACCTCCGCTCAATATTAGCTCTGAAACATACTGAAGCGTTCATTAGATCACTATGATGTGTGGACATATTTTTGAAATACTTATTTATAGCTCATTTTGACGCGCGAGAAAATCTCTATCGAATGGTATATTTATCGTGGTGGCTAGATGACGAACGTTGGTCATAGAATGCTCACGGTTAAACAAGTCGCCCACTTGTCACGGCTTTGCAGCAAGTATTTCTAATGTCAAGGTGCCCTAGGACACCTTTTTCACTATTTTATATATTTGAAATTGTAGTGTAAGTAATTCTTTATCGAACAGTATATTTATCGTAGTGACTAGATGATAAAAGGTGTCATAGATTATCTTAGATTTTTTGCACGTAGAAGATTATTTTTCATAGCCGGAAGTATTTCTAAACATACTTGGCCTCAGAACGACTATTTCCGTACAGGTGATATACAGAAATATAGCGCAGAAACGAGCTTTCGAATGACACTAATATTCCATATATATTACCTAGAAAACCAGAATATTTTTCTGCAAAACTGTTTCTACTTAGGAGGAATGAACCTGTACGTACTTAAATCTGTTTCATTTTCTTTCTAAACACAAATAAAAGCAGAATGGTAAACGAATGTGTAACTGCAGAATATGGAGAGCATACTTTTCTAAAAGAACTGTTCT